TATATATATATATATATATACCGGATTATGCATGAGAGAAATTAATGCAACATACTGAAACAACAATGAAGACATCATCAACGTTGCTTTAGGCAACCACTTGGAAAGGTAACAGATAATTTATTCACAAGAGGTATTTCATTGTGCTCTGTACGAATCTGTTTAAATATTTAACGTCAGATATGGAAGGAAGATTTGTCATCTTCGTTTAACGGTATCTAAAGGAAGAAACGAAGACAATTTTAGATTAATTTTTGGGTTATGATTATCATCGGTTATATATACTTTCTTCTGCATTTATTTCAAAGAAATACACAATTTTTACCTATAACGAAATCACCGATATTTAAAAAATACATTTTCTTTTTAGAAAACAAAGAGTCCTAATAATTAATTTGTTTATTTGTACAATATAAATACATTGTTAACTAATGTACCTATTGGTGACCTAACATAAACGATTGTGAATACCTACATGCAATATTTGAGACATGCAAAACTCTCTCTATTTATTTCATTTATAAAATGATATAACTACGATGAAGCATAAAAGTTCTTTAAATTGCATAGGAATGTAAAAAATTTAGAGAATTAAAGAGCAATGACTTATATTGAGGTCAGTTCCTATCTTTTTTTTTTTTTCTCTTATTCTTCACGTGATACGATGTGACCGCTCCTTCTCTAGAAGACCGCTTTTTTTCAATCATTTATTATACAATTAATAATGTTAATAATTTCCTATTTTTGATTAAAAAATTGTTTAAAAATCTCATGTTTAATAGATATTCTTTTTTTTTTGGTGATGATTACAATATTTTATTTTCTCTTAATAATTAATAGTAAAATTTATATTCTCATTACATAAAATTAGAATTATATAAGCATATTGTAATAATAACTCAAAACATTTTGTTGGAAACATATTTATTTACATAACTGAATAATTTAAATTTGATAAAGAAATGGAATACAAGAGAGAAATAAATATACTATCTACAAGCTAGTTCCTCACGGAATCAAGAAACTTTCTCTCTTTCTTACATCACGCTAGTGAAATGTGTTAATATACATTGTGATTACTCATCTTTAAAAAGGATTTTGTTAGCGATATTAAAAACCGTCGTCAAGTTACTGTACTAAACTAATTATAAATTGTGAACATTTGTGTTTCCGTTAGTAAATTTTATAGTTTTTGACAACTTTTACCAATGTGTCAATAGTCAGTTATTCCATTTAACATAATTAACGTAAGCACTTAACGCATCTCCATTGTAAAGCTCTTCATTGATGTTCATACAAATAACTTTTACAACACTACATACATATGACATTGGTGCGTACATTGATAATGCTACTTTTGAATTTATTATATTTACAATGTTTGATCTTAATGTTATCTTATCATAGCCAGGCGCTGAAATAAATAAGTAAATAAAATTAATAGAAAATTAATTAATTAATAAATTATATGGTATAAATAAATACATCTTATTCTTAATTTTATATATAACGTCAATCTTTTCAGAATTGTTTAAAATTAAAATAAAACTGATATTTTTCTACAACAAATATTACTGTAAGGATAAAAATAATTGAGGAACCAACAAAGAATTCTATTGTCCGTTAATAATTCTTTTCACTTCTTTCTACGTCGTTCTTTGTAAAATCGATAAGGTTCGAATTCTTGCACGTCGTCAACAAAACCGTATATATCCTGTCGTCTGTACTTGTTGACTGATTCGTAGCTGCTCTCCTTCTGGGCAACCTTTTTTAATCCAACTATGGCTGCCAGGATTAAGCTCATCAAACTTAGCACAACAGCTTTTCCACTTAGAACTGCCAACGCCTTTAACGTGATGGGCAATAGAATAGATTTTATCAACAAAAATCCAATAAGCAAAGGCAGAACATATTTATTCAGTTTCTTCAATTTCTTATCTTTACGCCCTGTAATTAATAAAAAAAAGAGATAAATACAAATAAATGTAATTATAAATGTATAATCGTGTTACGTGCTTTTATAATTTCCTAATCTCTTTTCTATTTTATGTAAAACGTGATTCATACAAAATAAATGTAACATGTCGTTTATATCGCTACTATTCGATACAGCCTATACTACATTGCCCGCAACGTTCTACTAAACACTAGGTATATGTTATGACTTAAAAGTTTATATTACATTATAAAAGTATTTTGCTCCTTCGGAAACAGGATGTGCATTCCTTCATTGAAGTATACCTTCCTTATTAAGTACGATCGTCACGGAAGTTAATAAAGATGAACTAGAGTAGAAAGCACTTATTTTTTTGTATCGCGAGGCTCCGCAAACCCGCATACCCAAAAGTATCATAATATAATGGACAATATGTGCAATTACACGCTTCTTTAACAACGTCTGATTAATAACGCAGTCTCATAATTCCATTTTACAGCAAATTATTCAAATCTTTGATTACTAAACTTAAAATACCACACTAGATTTGTTATCTCATTTCCCTGTAATTCCTTATCCAAATATATTACAATTCGTTGTTAACAAACTTATAATCAATATTGAGAAAAAATGTTTGACAATATATACCAAAGTTGACACTTACATACTACAATTGACACTTTCATTAAATTAGTTAATACTAAATTGCATAAAAACATTACTATAAATAGCCATACATTTTGTAACAATTTGATCCTTTCTATTTGACATTAATAAAATTAAAAATGCAATTATAAATTTACATAGTAGCTTATAATGATATTAATTTAATAGTTGTAAAGATATAATACTTTTTTTTCAATGTAATGATCACATATTCCGTCTGTATTAATACGCCTATCATATACTGTGTATATTAATAGCATATCTTTATACATGTATATAATATACAAATTATATATTTAAATTTTATAAAAACGGATAAAAATTGTTTTGTTAAAATCCAGAATATTATTAAAAGTTTAACAGTAATTAATATAAAAAGAGTAACTTCTGTTGAAAGTTTTTTTATTTGATTATGTCTTATTGATTATTTCTTCCCTATACACTTTCTAATAAGTGAATAAAATATATTACTATTTAATAAGAGAATAAAATAAAACACAATTTGAACTTCTTTGTGTTTATCAAACATTAAATATACAAGATTTAAAAATGGATAGAATTGTTTACATTTAGCTACAAATAATTATTATTGTCAATACCTTCTATACTATCACACGATTTTGGAACTGGTGAAAATGTATCAACGATGTTCAAAAAGCTTTCGCCAATCCAGTCTAAAGAGTCT